CCGGGCCGTGCCACAGCCGGTCTGCTCGTCTCTGCTCCAGCAGTGCCAGGCCGCTGGGCACCACTGTCGGGGTGCGGCTGATGCTCCCATGCAGCTGGGCTCTGCCAGGCCTGGGGGCACTGCCTCAGGCTCTTGCCACCGCAGGAAGGAAGGCAGCTGGAGCCCCACCCCCGTCTGTGGGGAAATGACGGACGAGACGCGGCCCCGCGGCGGGCCCCAGCCTCCCCCTTTCCTTCCAATCAAATGTTTTTTAATTGTTTTATGGAAATATGCATCATAAGTTAATATATTGCGCCGGGCTATTAAACCTTTTCTAGAAAGCACTCGCTCTGCTCTGGCTGCGCAGGGCGGGGTGGGGCAGGAGAGAGGGCTGCAGGCCCCTTGAACTGCGCTCCGACCCCTGGGGCCGCTGCTTTCTGGAGCCAGCACTGCCCTGACCCAGTGGGCAGGGCTGCCCGGAAGGAGGGGAAGAGTTGCCCCAGCCCCTGCCCCCTGCAGGGACATGTTCTGGTGCCAGGTAAGTGCCATACTAGTGCCTCTTTCTCTCCCCACAGGGCCCCCGGGGCACAGCCCTGTGCAGTGCTGTCTGCCCCTTCCCACCTGGCAGGGCCTGGGTATCTCCTCAGAGTGAGGGCACTAGGGTCTGCCAACCCTCCTCCCCCACACAAGTCATGTGTCACGATGGGGATTTGTGCTAGGGGGGCCCGGTGCTGCCCCCAGCTCCCCCACCCCCGCCTGCCTATGGCTCCCCCCCCGGCACTGAGCAGCCATGGCCATCTGGTGCCCTGTCCATCTCATACCCCCAGTTCCTGCATGCGGGGGGCACAGCACCTGTCACCTCTCCTTGCCAGGGTGTCTTCCTGCCTCCCCGGCAGCCGGGACTGTCTGGTTCCAACAGACCCCAGGAGACACCTGAGTCCAACCCCCTGCTCAATCATCCCAGCCAGGGCTTAGTCAAGCCAGGCCTTAAACACTTCTAGGGAGGGTGATTCCAGCTGCTCCCTAGGGAACCCATCCGGGGGGCACAGCACCTGTCACCTCTCCTTGCCAGGGTGTCTTCCTGCCTCCCCGGCAGCCGGGACTGTCTGGTTCCAACAGACCCCAGGAGACACCTGAGTCCAACCCCCTGCTCAATCATCCCAGCCAGGGCTTAGTCAAGCCAGGCCTTAAACACTTCTAGGGAGGGTGATTCCAGCTGCTCCCTAGGGAACCCATCCTCCTAGTGCTTCCCCAGCCCTAGGGAAATGGCCTTTCCTCACAGCTAGCCTTGACAGCTGTATGGAGGCCTGAGCATTTATGTTCTCCAGCCAGGGGGCAGGCCCCTTAGCCAGGCCCAGGGCCCCTTCTCAGAGCGTGGGCTTGACAGAAACCTGGGGGCAGATGCACTGCACCCTATGGGCTGGGCAGCGGGAACAGCTCGCAAGCCGAGCCAGGCTCTTCCATTCAGGTGGGAGGAGCACAGATGCATGCTGGGAAGGGATTCCTGCAGACTGCCCCTGCCCTAGAAGCAGGCCCACCTGTGCTGGCACCTTAGCACTGCAGGGCAGGGGCAGGCCCCCACCCCGGGAAGGGAAAGTCTCCGTCTCTCCCCACCAGGGGGCAGCACCCACTGAAGTCCTGCAGGGAGGCGGTCAGCTGTGGGGGGCCCCTGGTGGCCTCACTATGCCAGCTGGAGAGTGGCAGCATCTGGCACCAGGTGTGCACAGAGGGGCCCCTCTGTCCCTGGGCTCCTGGGGCCCACAGCACCCAGCCATGCATGGCCCCCCATCAGCCAGTGCAGAGCCAGCTCCAGTGTCTCCCCTCCCCCAGTGCACTGGCAGCCCTTGGAGCTGAGCACAAAGCAGCTCCCCGCCCCATCCACACACAATTCCTACCAACCCCCCACCCCCCCGTGCTGGCTCCCGGCTGCTTCTCCTGCCCCGTTGCTTTGTGGGCGCCAAGCGTCGCAGCAGCTGAGACAGGCCTGCCGCAGCGGCTAGGCAGGGGGGGGGCGGCAGGGCCTCCGCAGCCCACTTCGTGCTCAGACTCTGCCCAAGCGCCCCCTGCGACTCCAGCCTAGGAGGCAGGCGGCTGGGACGGAGGGTGCCAGGTGGTGGCACTAGAACATCAGTCCATGTCAGCAAGGCAGTTGCGCCCCCCCTCCTCCCCCAGTCACAGGTTGGGCACTGCCTGGACACCAGTGCCCCGCTGGCATCCCTTGGGCTTGCTCGGTGCCACCACCCTCTGCAGCTGGGGGCAGGAATTCTTCCTGGCCCCAGGAAGCAGCCGGCTGGGACGGAGGGTGCCAGGTGGTGGCACTAGAACATCAGTCCATGTCAGCAAGGCAGTTGCGCCCCCCCTCCTCCCCCAGTCACAGGTTGGGCACTGCCTGGACACCAGTGCCCCGCTGGCATCCCTTGGGCTTGCTCGGTGCCACCACCCTCTGCAGCTGGGGGCAGGAATTCTTCCTGGCCCCAGGAAGCAGCTTGCAAGTTCCCCCCCACTCAGGAGTCCAGCCTGACGAAGACCTTGGGCCGGGAGAAGATTTTGAGGGTCTGATCCATCTGCGACAGCTTCTGCTCCAGCTCCACCCGCCGCTTGTGAATGCTCCGG